TCCAAGTTTTACAGAACAAATCTTTTTATTAAGGGGCCACAGTCAAAGGGCCACACTTAAGGACAAACCCTGCTAGGTTCTGAAGGGTTTAAAGAGCCAAACAGAGGATTTTATATTTCAGTGTGGAGATAATTTAGGAGGTAATTAGTAATACCATTGGCAGCTGAGTGGAGGATGAACTCGAGTGGGGAGAAACTGGAGGCAGGGAGTCCAACTGGAAGGCTATTATAGTAGTCCAAGTGTGAGAATATGAGCGTCTGCACCAGAGTGTTGGCTGTGTGAATAGAGAGAAGTGAACATATATGAGAGCTGCTGTTAAGGTAGAAATGACAAGACTTAGAAACAGAGAAGATATATGGGGTGAGTACAAATAAGAAATTAAAGATTATATTATGGTTTCAAGCCCATATGACAGGGAAGATGGTGCTGCTCTTGACAATAATAGCAAAGCTGGGAAGATAGGAGTGCTTGGGATGAAAGATAATGAGTTTTATTTTGAACATATTGGGTTTGTGGCTGCTTCTTCTTTGTTTCCATTTACTCCACTTCCACCTGTCATGATCAAAATATAGGCATTTCTCAAGATTGTCTCCCTCAGTAATCATTCAATTTCACAATTCCAACCATAGACTTCTGTGAAGAATATGTATGCTCAGTCCTGATCTCTCTTCTACGTTCCGGAACATTTCACATAGCCTGCTGGACATCTCTGCCTGAATGTACCACTGGCACCTCAAATTCAATGTCTAAAACCAAACCTGTCATCTTTCTTTTAAAAAAAAGTTAAAAAAAAAAAACCCGACAATCATTCTGTTCTTGACTTCCTTATTTTTGTTAAGGACATCATGATTCTCCTAATACTCAGTTGAAATCTCTATTTCTACCATACCTCATATCTAATCAGTTGCCAAATCTTCTTAATTCCATCTTCCCCCACCTGCAACACACTGACATAGGGCCAGTTAGTGGAGGAAGCAGTCACATACTTGATATAATTTAAGAAGTTCTAGGAAAGCCTACATCTGCCCAAAAATATCCTTCCCACCCACCTGCCACACTGCTAAAGAGTTGTTTTGGTGTTTTTTTTTTTTGAGTTTGCTAGCTTTCTATTCCAAAACAATGGTAAAAGATCACAGATGGCATATTTTTTTTTTAAAAAGCATCATCAAACAGTCTTAGATGTCTGCTTTCTCATCTCTGAAAGTTTTATAATCATTCTCTATATATGTATTATAATTGACTGCAAAGGGCTAAGAGCCTTCCCCAATATCAGAGAAGACTTGCTATTGCTTTTAGTGGTTAGTTAACTTCCTTCTTCTCCCACAACCAGGCTACAAATGATTCAGGATATTCTTTGATCATTGGTGCAAAAGGGGTAGCTAGGATATCATCCCTAGGATTTTGAGACAAAGAGTAGGATGGATATCATGTGTCTAAAGGGTTAGTGTTTTCAGAGTGATTAGTCATGTGAATCCGAGAAAGAATGGAGTGTGGACAGAGAGATGTGACAGTGTGGAAGCTGGGTGTGAGTCAGTGTGTGTGTGTGTGTGTGTGTGTGTGTGTGTGTGTGTGTGTGTGTG